AGAAAGGATACTGGTTTAAAACACCCCCATTAATAACCGAGAAAAATGAGTTTGTGATGATGGCGCCGTGTAAAATCCTCCATTGGAGATCACCAGATCGTTTCTTGATTGGAGGTTTGTATAAAGTCCTCCACTGGGGGCTTTTATCTGAAGCTTTTCTGTCCAGATGCAGACCGGCCGGTTCTGAAGATGTCTTTGGTTTATTGCTTTAATGCAGCTGTTGGTAAAGAGCTTTGTGGTTCAGAATAAAACCATTCTCTCTGGGTCCAGGCTGGACAGCCACAGACAATGGTCTGCTTTGCTCAGGGAAGCAAGGATCCAGGATCAGGCCAGGAACATATCTTCTCTTCTCTTCTCTTCTCTTCTCTTCTCTTCTCTTCTCTTCTCTTCTCTTCTCTTCTCTTCTCTTCTCTTCTCTTTCCTGTTTTCTTAGGCGACATTAGTTACCCCCTCCTTACCAGTAGGTGGCGGTAAATCGCCATTACGCTGTTTGCTCAACAGCCGCTTAAACAAACAGTAGAAGAAGAAGAGGCAGTAGAAGAAGAAGTCCTTCCTTTCAGGAGCTCCACACGTGTTTCTTTGAGTGTTGGAGGCAGAATTGAAGCGGCATCAGGAGAAGTTTCCAGTCCGTCGCTTGGTCGCTAATCTTCAGCTAACATGAAACCAGGTAAAGTAGCTGCGCGCGAGGCCGCTTTAGTCTCAAGGTGTTCAGGCTGTTTGGCTGCAGACATGACGGCCTACCAGGCAGCCCCCCTAAACATGGTCAAAAGTGTTTAATGGTGAAAATAAGGCGCGGCATTGTGACCCTAGCTTCGCGCTGGGATTTGAATACTATTGAATAAGTTTTTTAATCGTTTTTATCCTGTTTATATCGGTAAAGTAAAGTCTAGGCTGGGGGCCAGGGGCCCCTCGTGTTGCTGAGCACGTGGGCAGCCTGTTAGGATTCCGGTGGAAATGTTTGGGGCCTCTGAGGGTCAACTTTAAATTAAAACCTATCCTTCTGTCTTCAAAGGGAGCCGATGTTTAGCTGTTTGGATGCCAGAACATAAATTAACTAATTTATTTAAATCTCCTTAGTTAATCTGTAATGATTAAATGAAACATACAGGGTCCAGATAGTGGACCAACTTTATGTAGGAAATCTATGATAAATGTAGACGGTGTAAAATGGCAAACAGTTGAAATGATGAGGAATAAAACCTGGTTTTCTTTTTTTACATTTAATTGAATCTCCATCGGTTGATTTCTCCTCATCTAAACCAAACATCTGTGGTTGGATTAAAGCTAATCTAACTCTGGGCCTTTTACACGTGTACCTGTTTTTCTTACATTTTGTTCTCTCAAGTATCAAATCTGTCAACCTGTAAATATTTCTATTTTTGGGGAAAATAACCTGCCCCTTTTTAAATGTATTATTTAAGCTGGGAATTCAGAATGACTGATCTGAACACAGCAGACTGTAGCATCTACCTCCTGTTTCTACAGTAAGAAGTCTATCCTGGGTGGAAAACAATTGATCTCATTTTGAAGAAATTCACCTCTGCATTTAACCCATCCCCTCAGGGAGCAGTGGGCTGCCATCATGGGGCGCCCAGGGAGCAGCGTGGGGTTAAGGGTCTTTGCTCAGAGACCCAGAGTGGCAGTCTGTGGGAGTGGGGGATCAAACTCAGAACCTCAGGATTACAAACACTATGCCCTAACCAATCGGCCGTTGTTCTGTCAGACCAGCATACCTATAATCAACACACAAGACCTCAGATTTGTTTATCCCTTTAGTTTTGTACGAAAAATAGACTTTAAACTACCTCAATGGGCGTGTATCCCTTTAGTCATTTACATAATAAAACAGTTTAAGGCCAGATCGCCATATGCTTAAAAAAACCCACCAGAAACTAAGTGTAATTGAATAGTTTTTGTGTTTTTTTGCTTGACTAAAGTGATCTATGCTCACTGAGGTTCTTTAAAATCTATTTTCCATCCAAAACTAAATGGATAAACGGGTATTTGCTATGGGTCTGCTGGTCTGACGGAAAGCCGCCACTCTTCCCATGTGGTGTCTGAACCTCTGTTCTGAATCCAGATGTTCAAACCCAGCAGTAAAATCTGTAACTTCCTGAAAAGCCAAAGCTAAAAACATGTGTGATGTCATTTTGCACATCTCTGGTGTTGCTGCTATTTTCTCATATCTACTACTGTAGAAATGTCTGCAGCTGTGTGTTGATTATTTATTATTCGGATGACTGCACAGTATTTATATTTGTAAAACATTGTACAATGTTTTATCTATTTTTATTTCTTTTTTTTAATTGATTCTGTTATTTTTATACACTTTTAAAGGCCCACGTTTGTGACCATGTTTGCTGCGATCAGTTGCTGCAGTAACACTACGATTTCTCCATTGTGGGACAATAAAGGGATTTTCTATTTTCTAATGAACCACCATACAAACCAAAACATTATTTCTGTAAAGTGGGCTGTGCCTGTACCTCATGCCATTCATTTAAAAAATACTTATGAATCCCAAAGAGAAATAAAACTAAATGTTAGTTTTTTTTTTTTTTTTTAGCAGTTTTAGGTGTTCATAGCTGTAGGCAGGAAGGATCTTCTTCTTGTAAAGTACTTCTTTCCTCCAACGTTGGTCTTGTTGATCTACCGTCCTGCAGGGTTTAGATGCAGCCCTGCTCCGTCACAGCCAAGTCGAATTAAACGCCATGCCATCAGGTTTAAATACACCCGGGTAACAAGGCTTTGATTTATTCAGCTGTGATGGATCTGCTTTTTTAATTTCAGTCTAGTAATCAATAACTAGATGGCAGAAAATGACTTTAAAACATTTAGTTAAAAAAACTGAGACGATCTGGTCTGATGCTTGGCTGCAGCTCATGTTCATCCAATTAAAACGTACACCTTTGTGTTTAAGGTTTCACTCCCCGTGGAGACAGAGGAGGACGAGGCGGGGGCCGCGGCGGCTTCAGAGGCGGGTTTGGAGACCGGGGTGGACGTGGAGGAGGAAGAGGTGAGTTGAAGGAAGTTTAGTCTGACGGCCATTTCTGGAAGCAGACTTGTTTGTATACATATCATCCCTGAAATGATGCACAGTGGACATCAGACACTATGATGTGTTTTTATTTTAGGTGGTGGATTTAGGTCTCCAGACGGTGGAGGATTTCGTGGCCGTGGGGGTGGCAGAGGCACCCCAAGAGGAAGAGGAGGCAGAGGAGGAGGAAGGGGTGGTGGCAGAGGAGGCTTTGGAGGAGGGAAGAAGGTCCTGATTGAGCCTCACAGACATGAAGGTTTTTATCCAACATATTTCTATACCTGAGGAAGTGATTATGATCTCCTCACATTTTTACATCCTGTCAAAATGTTTCAGTTAAATTCAGTTTATTTCTATAGCTCCAATTCACATCATGTCATCTCAAGGCACTTTACAGTTCAACAAGATCATCCAGTCAGATTGATTCAAAGTTTTCTATCCAAGGAAAGCCAGTTGATTGCTGCAT